CGATGCACAGAACCTGGATCAACCTCAGCAACTACAAACGTCGCCATCGTCTCCCATCAAGCTTTCGAGCGTCTGACAAAGTCTTGCGTACCCTCAATTCGCGCTATCCAAATACGCCCACGGACACCAGACGCTTGAGCTCACCGGCATCATTGGCCTATCGTAGACGGCTTCGAGTTATCTAAGCAAACGCTGGTTTCTGTCCTAACAGACATAGGTTCGACCTCGTCCACGCGACCAAGTGAAGACCGTGAGTTGAAGCAAAGACGCTGCAGACGCTGCTGACCCTGTCCGGCGACCAACTCGCCGTCAGTCATCGCCAATGGAGAAAACCGATGGAGGGTTTGAAAGGGTTGAATAAGGGGTTAAGCAACGCCGATGCTGATGCCCACGCGGTCGATACCCCGTCCGACTTGCACATGACCAGTCACTGTCACTAATGGCGCGTACAATTTCGCCGGCCTGGAAACCAATGCATCCTCGAATACGCACATCACGTAGCGTACACTGCCCATTCTGATAGCGAGCTGGAACACTCGAAGATGATTGACGAGGAAAGTTGAAGCTGGGAGAGGCCTCATTTGATAGGGCGTCTTGTAAATGCGGAAAGCTCGCTATATGCATCTCGTCTGATTGAGGCCTATCCGTGCGTCTCATCGTGCGGCCCATCAACAGGGCGAGCCATGGTTTGCTCTTGCGCAAGGTGCCATTCCTGCTCACCGAGCCAGGAGTCTGCGATGCGGTCCTCATGTTGGGGAGGAAATAGTGATGTCACTCGACATTCTCGTCTTCAACATCCTCGTCCAACTACTTGCTTTAAATGGACGCCGTCATGGAAAGATATCTCTGATGTTGAGTAAAGTTCCGCGCATTGAGGTCGTCGTCGGAGACTTCCACATTCGGTCTGGCGTTCGCTCTTCTGGCTACGGCGTTTGTGCTCTGCAAGCTTGATTGAGTTCATCCGGGCCTGCTGAGACCGCACTGCGGCGCGCTAGGCGTGCCCTTCATGAACAGCATGACGGGCGCCGCCTTCACAAGTTCGCTTGGCTGCGCGTTCGAAAGACTTACTTTCTGGAAACGGGGGGAGAAGGAGACCGTTGTGCCGATGCCGGGCGTCGTCTCGAGCCATAAACGGCCTTGCATGACGTTCTCATTCCACAAATCTAAAGCTATAGAGAGACTGCCGCCGAATATTGCGGGACCATCAAGTTGTAAGTGGTTCGGAAGACTCAATCTGTGTGCGAGTATCATGCCACCAGGGAGGCAGGGTGTGTCCCTCATACCATGGCGAGTTGCGGGAGAAAAACAAACAACCGCCTTACCTCCCTCTCACAGGAACCGGCGGTACCGCGCGAGATGGAAGTAGAAGCGTAACCCCATACTGCGTACGGTAGCTCTTGCAGGCGTCTCAAGAGCTGCGGTTGTGTAGACTAAGCGTGCCTCTTCGAAGGCCTTTTCGACCTTATCGCGGATTGCGGGAGGCACGCTGGCGTAACTCCGGGTGGAGAGCTTTCGCTCAACGCGGGCAAACGATGGTGCCATTGTGGTAGGAGATATGTGAGCGGTATTACAATGTTTCGTCTCCAACGCGTGACTTCAGCTGCTCATCCTTACTGATTCAAATCCCTGCCCGTCTTCAATCAGCGCTTTATCTGGTTCTTCGTGTCTTTTACAAAGCCTTGTGCGTGTGATGCCGCATGGCAAGCTGTGTTCGTTTGCCTAGCTGTGTCCTCGAACAGAAAGATGTGCGCCTCACAGTAGGTGCATGTCAACTCTGGTCCATCATCGTATTCGACATGTCCTCTAGCTTTTTGTACATGCCCTGTCTGAACCAACTTACAATCGCTGTTCGCTTTGCTGGTGTCTGTGTCTGTGCATGTGCGCCGAGGTCAGGCGCAGCGAAGCCGGGAGCGTACAGGCTGATAAGGTATGAGGACGTGCGAAGCGCGGTGCGGGTTAGGTCGCGGCGACTGGCGCAGGCTTGGATCGGGTGTACAAAGCGCATAGCTGGAGCTCTTGGTTGTAGCAGCACGGATCTTGGATTCGCTGTCGAACGGGACGGTCGGCTAAGTATACGGCACGAGCTGGATGGAACCCTTGGCGCGGGTTCAATGAGAGCCCCCGGCGTGAGCGGCTGGATTCTGGTGGACCAACGGTGGATGTCAGGCTTATAGCTGTAGGCGCAAATGTCAGTTTCGACAGCGACCCTCCTCGCTGCATAGGTCATGAGTGGAACGAACTTGCCCGGTGTAGTCGGTGGCAACACTGCACGACCAGAGCGCAAGCCACAGGCAGAGCAGCCAGTATCGGATCCTTCGCAAAGGGCGGCGGAGGTGGAATGTCGAACAAGCTGTACTTGGCCGGGATTTGTGGAACTGGCGGTGCGGACTCGTCGCTGCGGACCGCCTCGTCTTTGTCCAGCTTCTCTTCCGCCGGCTGTAGAGAGACCACGTTTTGTTCAGCAGCTTCTATGGCTGCTCAACGGGCTGCGGAGCCTGCAACTCTTCATTACCCAATACGGCACTGGAGCAGGCCAGGTTGTCCGCCCGCAAGAACTAGCTTCTGAGCGCGAAGCAGATGACTGCCTTCGCGAAGGTCTGCGCGGCGGCTCCTTCAAACGCCTCGACGACCCGCCGGGTGCACGACATGAAAGACCGACGAGGTAGAGCTTCTGGACGAGCTTTCCGGGTGTCTTGTCTTCACACGTCAGAGCCGACCACAGGTGTGAGCAGGCGCCGGCTGTAAATCGTCTTCAGCGGTCGTTTGGTGCTGAAACAAAAAGCCGAACCGACGTAGGCAATTGTAGGCGACACCATAGTCTCCCCTGCACGCCAGATTTTGTTCGCATCGATGTGTGCTCAAGGTGATAGGAAGCGCCTGTCCATGCGCGCGACGTGCAGTTTGTGTTGGAGCATGCGGGCGTCGCGAGTGAGCTGAAGTTGCGTCGTATCGCTCCGACAGTGATGGGTATTCGTACGCGCTGTTCGTGGGCTATGTCCGGCTGTCACTGGCGCTCGCGCTCCAGAAAGGCGTCGAGGTACGTGAGTGCCAGAGAAGCGCGGGTCGATGCTGGTTGTCATACTGTGCGTGACAGAAACGGCATAGGTAGCTACATCATATCCTGCACGGTATCGCCAAGGCCCAGATGGACCAAAACATGCCGGCGCAGATGGGTGAGTTGTGGTGGTCGCGGAGGTAGGGGCTGGCATTGGCGGCCGGGGTAAAGAGCGGGCGGGAACGCCTGTGTGTAGGCTGGCGACGGCGGAGGAGAGTGTATAAGAAAGCAGAAAGGCATGCAAGTCGCAGACTAGAAGGGAGTGGGTAAGCTCAAGGTGTGCGTGCGTTGGGCCAGTATCCCCCGGACTCAACATACGAACCACTCGGAGTGTCAGCTCGGAGCCTCCGACCAGCGTGACGTCGCCGTGGCCAGAGGTGTGGCTAGAGACAGCCAGCTTGAAGAAGCTCGATATATTCCCACGAATCCTCTGGTCGCTCAACCCCAGTCCATGTACGGGCGATGCGATGTTGACCGTGCGCGGGGATGGGTAGTACGTGGATTGTATAAGGCGTGAGGAACCTGCAATACCAGCCAAAATGACAACCGACATGTTCGGACCAACGAGGGCATACTAGTAAAAGATGCGATGCGAAGGCATATTTGGTGGCAGCGCCATGTAGCGAGCGGCGGCTGTGTGGTACATGGATGGATCCTGCCGTAACGACGGACCGGTCCGTTCCGCTGGGAGCCATCTATGCGCTGAACTGGCGCAAGCGTCGATGAACGGACAGTCCAATCCCAAACCGATGCCATCCCCTCCCGCTGAAGAATCAACATTCCTCTGGAAAAGTTCAATCTATGCAAGTTCTTGTGCACATCGATAATAAGTAAGCTGGGCGCGTGCTTCTTCTCGCGGGCCTTCTTACGCTGATTCCCACGGGTATGCCACAGAGAGTGATTTGCGACTCCATGTACTCTCGCTCGGTGCGCAATCACACGTCGCCATCTTCGTTGACGCCCAAGCGCTGTAGGGACTCAGCAACCTGGCTGGGGTTCTGAAACATCTCCTCTAAGGAACGCTCTGCAAAGGAACTCAGCATTGCCCAGTAGGGTTAGCGCCTCGTCGAATTAGGCTAGCGCTTCACACCTCCATAGAGACACTCAGCTTACGTTGCGCCCTGCCACCTTCCCTCCCCACTGTCCTGACAACCCAAATCTAGAGCAGGCTCATCCAACGGCACTGCACAGAGCTTTGGCAACTCCTCTAGTTGGTGCTTCTAAGAACTGGCAAGCCTGCGAGCAGATGGCCAGCCGAAGGGTAAGATCCGGCCCACATCGCTGCCTCAGTCTCTCCATGAAAGGTGAGTGCCTCCGACACCGGCTTCTCAATGATTGTTTAGGATTGAGACGAGGTAAACTTCTGCCAAATGTCCTACTACTTCGGCTCAGAGAACGACTTCAAGCAGGGTTAATCACATCGGCCGGTCTACGCTGCAAACACAAGCTACGGCTTACGCGTACTACATCAACAGCATACGGGTTGAAAGAGATGGAGAGACGTTATTAGCAGCGGTCTACTTCACCGCAGGGGTATTCCTTCGTGCTATACGGCCCATACGCTGCGCATCACTCGGCTGCTGGTGCCATTGTTTAGCTACGCACCTCGACCCCTCTCCAGTCGAGGAGGTAACGACGAAAATCACGCCACCTACTTCTTCCATCCGAGTTCGATCCAAGCACTTCTGCTCAGCTGTAGGTCCACAATCAGCAAATGTAGTCAACTTCACTCCTCGTCCCATCTCTACCTTGCATCGCGTCAGTTCGACGTACTGATCGCTATCATCAGTCTATTGTCAGTTCCTTCGCATCATCCATGCCTTGTCGACTGTGCTTGCAGCTGATGGAAGGCTTCATGAGGTCGCCACCAGGAAAGATGGACAGGGGAGGCGGAGGGGTGGGGTGGGCAGGATATGGAGAGAAAAGGGCAGTGTGTCGAACATACTTACTCCATGCTGACGTCGTCAGCCTTTCGCTCCGCCTGGTCGAGACCGCCCTTAGCTCTACCTGCAACGTCCGAAGGCGGGCCGGTTTCTAGCTTTCGGCGCTTAAGTCTAGGGCCTTCGCTCCGGGTTTCGGTGTCTGTCTGGCCAACCTGCTGGTGATTGCTTTCCTCTGCGCCTTGCGGCGGTTGCGTTTCATTGAGGGTTTGACCTTGGTCACCGAGCTTTGGGAACGGCACGGTACTCCACGTGGGTCGACCAACGCCGTAACCATAGTCCTCGAACTCCTTGTGTGGTTTCTCGGACATCTTGATTTCGATCTTGTGTGCAGAGATTCGCGGCCGATGTGAGCTAACACCCTGGATGAGTAGCCTATTCTCATCTCCTCAGCCATGAGCATACGACGCTTACCTTCGTTTCAAGTTTCGGTCGCAACACGTTTCTTGTCTAGCCACGCAGATTGAGTATCTGGCAGTCTGTGCTCAGGATTCGACTTTACGAGCTTGTGTTCAGGATTCGATGTTACGAGTTTGCGTTGTTTTGATGTTGACGCGGTCGCGTCTTTGTCGCGACCCGTCTGCCCTTCACGGGTAGCTGCAGCAACAGCGACGACAACACAATGTCGTAGTAAACACACCACACCCCATACACGACTCTCGCAAGAATTACTGCGGCCTCAGCCAGACTCTTGCGCGCCCAGTACCCACTGTTTTGTTTTCTTGCAACCAGCTCTCGCTCATTTCTCGATCCTCATTAGTCCCAATGGCGGATCCAGAACTGTTATAGGGGACGGCTCCACCGGTACTTGGTTGCGCGGCTCTTTGCGCCCTCGCAGGCATCTGTTGCCGAGATTTTGTTCTTCCTTCTCGACCGCCGCCTCAGCTTTGCTGGGCTTCCCATCTTTCTCCTTGGGCTCCGTTGTACGCCTATCTGGATGACTTAGTGTCTCAGCAAATGGCATTCACTCGAGTAATGGCAGAGTGGTTAGTGCCATTTTAGGAGTGGGACCCGTTAGTTTCTGGTGGTCGCCGGAGACGGGGGGGGGGACGATTCCTTTGGTATGCATCTGCGCATCATCACAACATGTAAGAAGGCGACTCAATAATTTATCTATATGCTTCAATATCCCACTATGTCAAAGTGCTGCGCAAGAAAAGTTCATTTTGTATAGTATAGGAAAAGAATTAATATTTTCCTGAGGTACATCTCGATGGGATCCAAAGTGTCCGTCCAGCTTTTAGGCTCACCCGCTGTTCGTGGTCGAGCAGAGTCGAACGAAATAAATTATCATAGTGATAACTATACTGAGCCAGTCTAATCTTCGGCATCCTTGTTCCCTAGGGCCTATGTTTCAAGATCGACTGCATCACAACCGAGGGTCGTGTCTTTGTTCCGCCTTTCTGCCAGCAGAAGTTCCGCAAGTCCCATGGGTTGTTGACATCCTCCTTGTTGGGGGTGTGCCAACGGGCTGTTTCCATTGCGCGGAAACATTGTGAGTTGGTTGGGAAGATGATCAACAGGTAACTAGCTAAAGTATAGGACTGGAGGAACGAACAACCTCGTTCGTTCTGGACCATTTCGTCGATATTCCTCAACGGGTCCATCGTCTTCCACGATTATCTGGTCCTGAGGTAGCTTGCGCTTGCTGCTGTCTCCCCGGCGTCGCTTCATAGAAATGCGAGGTCCATCATCCGGAACCATCACCGTGTTCAGCACCTCCCTAGCGGAGTGGCAGAACAAACGACTAACGATTGCCGACGAGACATTGAAGAACGTAGTCGTTGTCCAAGAAATCTGAACCCATACCTGTATGCGTACTTGTGAAACAGCACCCAGTACTCGCGGGCGTCGCAAGGCCTGTCCTGTTCGGTGGAGTTCTCGACGCGAATCGTAGATCATGGATCTTACCTTCGAAGAGTATCACTCCGAAGGGAAGCTCGTGCTGCAGAGAGCAATGTTAGTTACGATAGTAGAGATGGGTACGCATCAGACTGAATTGTTTCTGCCATTGCCAGAGAGCTTGCTCGTAAGCATAGCGGGATTCCAAGAGAGGGAACTAAACAGACGATTTGTGTAGCTAGGTAACTTCGGCATGCCAGCGCCCCAATAACGGAGCATCTGGAGGTCTTTGGCTCGCCTCGCGTCTAGGTAAGTCAAGACGACCTCGTTGTGGGATTCTTCTGTGGGATGCCCGGTCGATTGGTAATTGGTTTCCTCGATGGCTACGAGGTTCGACTGCAGCGTACGATGTAGAATAAGGCTCGTCGGTCTGTACATGAGCGGATAGGATACCGATTGTAGACATCCACACCACCAGAGATGAGGTATTGTGTAGGGTTTCGTTCTAATCCATACTTCAGGGGTGGCAGAGACCTTTTCGAAGGCGATGGCACGGCAGGGTCACCCACAGCCGGAATCTCTGGCGCAGGTGAATTGCCCCTAGAGGCTGTACTGTGCTCTTCGGAAGGCTGGTACATCGGCTGTGGATTCGCGATACTTTCTGGCTGTAAGATACGATTAAAGAGGTGTGCAATTGCTTCTGGAGAGTCACCGCTGGACTCGATCTCACCTCGCTTCTACTCTCGATCATGGCACTCATCTCGCCTCCCACAGCCATTTCAAATGCGACGCTGGAGATTTTGGAGTCGGATAGCAAACTTGAAGTCTCTAGAGACATGCCGTGGTCTCCTGATTAAAACGCTCCAAAAAGATCCAGCACTAAGCTTAAAGCTCTTATGTTTATTACATTAGGTTTTCGATCGTATTCGAGTTCGTCTTTTCGCATTGCGAGGAAAGCTTCTGTTTGCAGGAGTAACAGTCGCCACAGGAGATCTGGAAGCTACCACATCAACCGACCGAAACAAGTTCAGAGATTTGTATTCGCATACTGGTACAGCAGGAACACAGTCTGCCCGATCTCAAAGTATCAGTTACCGTCGCTGCTTACCGCCGAGTGTCTCGAAACCTAGGCAAGGCGACCTTGGACAGCACTGCAACGTCGATTGACTGGCAGGTAAGCAGGAACTGTCTATCTCTATTCAAGTCTATCGCTGTTTAGGTCTATCGCTATTCAGAGATATCGCTATTCAGGTCTATTGCTATCGCTATTCAGGTCTATTGCTATCGCTATTCAGGTCTATTGCTATCGCTATCCAGGTCTATTGCTATCGCTATTCAGGTCTATTGCTATCGCTATCCAGGTCTATTGCTATCGCTATTCAGGTCTATTGCTATCGCTATCCAGGTCTATTGCTATCGCTATTCAGGTCTATTGCTATTCAGATTCGGAGCTAACATAAGCTAGTTAATCTCGAAGTTACTTTTTCAACATCACAAGCTGTGCAGGACGAGTATCTCGACGAAGAAGCATGTGACGACGCCGAACAGGTGGATGGCGCTAACGCGACGTCATCAACCATCCTCGCTGCTCGGTAAGAAGCGCCGTGATAGTCGTAAACACCACCATATCCCATGGCCCTCGCCCATCATGACATGGCCCTAAACTACTAATCTCAAGATGCTCCCACATATCCTGATCTTGCACTTGCAAAGTAGGCTCATGGTCACGCGAGTCAACGGCTGCCTGCATGTCCAAGTGCGAACCTGCCCTATTGCGAGCTTTTCCGATCGTTGCAGTTCAAAAGAAGAAGCGCGTGAACAATCTTCGTAAAGTGTCCCACCATAGCCGGCATATGCGGCGGGTATTGGTGCGTCGACGATGGCGTAGAGTCCATCAAGACCACGGTGTCAAAGCTGCGGAGCGTTTTGCTGGAACGCAGCGTCCACCAACCTGTCTCGGCAAAACGAAGAAGCCCATGCGCGAGCGGCCAAGAATGTTAGCAACCAGGTCCTCGTGCTCTGTCGGGCAGTCGCTTGGAGCGTTTATATCGATACCTTTGTGGAGTTCTGATCGGGAAGACATTTGCACACTGCTGAATTGTCCTGTCCGCCCATCTTTCAACCGCCAGATTTCTTCCGAGGATTAGGATCTTTCAATCGGAGCACTGGTCTCACCAACTGATCTTGATGACTGCCAGTGCACTTTATACGCAATGCTGCAATCGTGGTTGGCACGTACGACGTTTCAGCCTTGTCGTCCACATCGTCCGGGGGAACCCGCTTGAGATAGCGACCGGCGTCGCCTACATCCTTGCTCGCAAATGCGAGGTCATTGGTCACGAACTCTCGGCTTAGACCTTGCTAATTATAGCCACCCTTGCAATAGCCATCGATGAACCTTCCTCAAAGGGAACATTCTGAAAGTCGTCGATTGCAGCTTGGCGCCAAAACAGTAGTGACACAGCAGGTTGGTTCATTGCGATTTGGATCATGGAATAATCAGCCTTTCGTGGCGTTGTCGTACTCGGCTTCTGAGATTCTTCCGCGATACGCTGGACTTGTTGCATCGCCCTGGACATGCCCTTCTGCAAAACACCATGGCAAGAGGCCACGCTTGCATGAGCTCTCAAGTGCTCCCAAGAGTTAAGGGGGTGTGGGTGGGTGATCGTTTCGGTGAGGGGGTGAGGGACGTGCGGTTCCGCGGAGTAAGCGACCCCTGGAGATCTGCGCGGCACAGCATGGCTGATCAAGTCTTCCTACGCCGCGAAGCAGCGTTCTGGTTGAACCGCTTTACGGACCCGGCCCCGGCTGTAATCGACGGATTTGCATGGGGCTGTCGATTGCCTAAACTGGAAGGTTGGACGTCTCGCGGAGATTGGATGGCTTGCCGATACCCGTGATGGACGCGAAGACAGTCTCATTGATTGCAGTGGTGCCACAGTCCCACATTGTCCAGAGGCCCTGGTGCAAGAGATGGCCGAGATGGTGTATCCCACGCGCCTGCTTTCCGATAACCATAGGAGGCGCAGTGGGAGTGCGCACTCTAGAACAGTGCAGACCCGACCACACGGGAGTCGCGAATAGCAATGTGGATTGGGCCTCATGGTGGTTTCAGGGTACACCATTGACCTCGGGATCTTGTGACATGCTTTCGCGAAGTCCACTTTGTGGTCACGATGCTACAGAACCTGCACAAAGTATGCCTTCCTTGCTATACCCGGCTCGATGGCGCTCGATGACATTCCGGTGTTCTGTGCTCTTGGCTTCAACCCCATTCCCGACGCACTCTGGATCCGGCTGCCAATGCATCCCAGCCATCTCTATTCAGGCCCACACGCGCCGTCTACCCGCCTACGCATGGAGACTAACACAGCAAGCCAGACCACGCCATCGAAGGCAGCCATTTCCCTCTCCCATGGCAAGTCTGACCGCCATGTGCAAGGCTGGTGTAATCACCAGCGCGGGTACA